AAAAGCAGAGGACAGGTCCCCAAAGGAGTCAAAGAACCTCTGAGTCCAGGGGTAGACCACCAGCAGCCTGAGGGGTGAACACAGCACAGAGAAAAGGGGGAGTCAGTGTCTGTCAGAAGCCCAGGGGACAGTGCTGTCTCCTCATGCCCAGCTTCCACTCACTCCCCTTATGCCCGGATACCAACCTGCCCAGGGCCTCACCACCAACTTCTTCCACGTTCACCTTGCCCCACAGGCCAGTGACAGCACCCTTCTCCTCACCAGTCAGATGCACCATGTTGGCTGTTTGTTTAGTTGCTAGTGAACACAGTGGTTTCAGAAGCAAGTGTAAGCAGCAGCTGGCCCTTCTCTTCTTTTTATGCCCAGCCCTGGCTCCTGCCCTCCCTGTTCCTGTGAGCAGATTGGCCTAGGCCTGGGTGTGGTTCTGCAGTGTGAGGACTGAATGATGACAGCCATACGTGTCCTTGGCAGTTCTGGCACTGACTTATGAGTCTGACTTCTGACTCTTGGCCCTCTCTCTAGGTATTGCTAAGTCCCAATCAGCAGTACAAAATGCTACTTAGAGTCAACCCCCTTGGAAAATCTACTTAAATAATTTTTAGAATCACTTAGAGATTGCTTCCTCAGCTTTCTTATTTCTGAAATGAAGAATCTGAAGTTCAGAAAGTGGAGGGGAATTGCCCCCTGTAGTCCAACTTCAAAGTGTATGGATAGATCTCCTGATGTGTCTTTAGAATACACAAAATGTTTACAAGAACAGCATGCATGAAATATTTGCCCCCATACTATTTTCCTTTTCTTTGTTTGATTAAATTTTTGTGGTAAGAAAATATCTACTCATTTATTTTTTCTTAATTTAGCCACGTAACCAAATAAATGATGATTAAAAAGTAGAATGAATATGAATTGAGAGTGTCCTGTGAAATAGTTACCCTATTAGATTTGTGGATTCACAGATGAAAACACAGAGATGTTTCAATGTTGTAAGAAACACGAGTAAGTGAAAAATCAGTTACAGACCAGAATGGTGACTTGGGAGAAGTAATGTTCTCAAAGACTAACCAGGGTCGTACAATATCTTTATCCTCAACTGGTCTGGGAAAGTGTCTGAGAGAAGAGAGAAGCTTCCCTGTGACTTAAAAGATGGGGTAGAGAAGTGGAAATGAATTCCAGCCTTGTCTCATGCTATTTTTTTTCCTTAGGCTACTAAGAATGCTGTGGTATAATTATTTCTCTGATTCAAATTCATCACCCACAGTCTCACTTTCCCTATATATTTTGTTTGTTTAAACCTTCTTTTCCTAAATTTTACTCTTTTATCTCTACAGCTTTTCTAATACCCACTCCTTGCCCCGCCCCACCCTACCCCCACCCCCCTCGAAGCTCCTTTTCTCCTTCTTGTAAGTTCTGTTAACTTTTCAGGCTGGGAAAAAGGCCTGAAGTGTAAAATTCTGTTCCTTGTAATTAAAAATGCAATGAAAACATTAAATCAGCAAGTGTTTCTGAGCTCAGCACACGATCTTTGAGTTCTCTGTAAGGCCCTGCTAGTTATTTTCCCTAATTTATAACCTCTGTACCTCCTGCATGTAGAGATGATGCTTTCCCTCTTCCCAAACCTTCATTTCCTTCCAGTAAGAAAAGGCCATACATTTTTGTTTTTTCACTTTCCATGTTTCTCCTACCATAGACTCTTCTGATTCAGCTGTCCGATGTCTAGAATCAACTTTCTCTCTCTTTTGCCATCACTGGAAACAAATATGTAACAGAAATCCCACATCCTTTCAGCTTTAATACTCTGAAATGCCAACTACAAAAACAACTTTAGGGGGGTAAACCAGAAGAAAAGAACTTTATTTTTAGTCGTCCCAAAGAAATTCATAGAAATCCTGCTTCCATCCCTCCATTTCCCAAAAGACCTACTCCATTATGGTTAGATAAATAAAAATTCCTCATCCCTTTTATCTGCCCCAGGCCCCAGCAAGTACTTGTGAACAAGCTCAAACACGTGGGGAAGGCTTGGGTTTCATCTGCCTATTTGAAGATAGGTGAAGAATTAAACGCCCCCCAAAAGATTACAGGTGGGAAAAAGATAGAAACCGAATATTTTTTATTTATATTCATCTTTTTCTAAGCAAAAAGGATTTTACTGGGGAAAGAATCCACATGCTGACAAAAGGTCTTTTAAATGGTTTAAATGTTAACAACAAAAAATACCATTTGTTTTGACCTTTACATCTTGATTAAGCCTTTTTTAGCTTTGTCATTGTTTTACATTCAGATTGTTTTCAAAACCCTATTTCACATTCTTGATATCCGAGGTCAGGCTTATGTATGTGTAAGGAGATCTTCTAGGGAATGTTTGGAAATGTGTTTTTTAATAACTCAGTGTCATGGAAAATTCACAGACCTATCTAAATAATAGTATAGACTACATTTATGTTCTTCTATAAAGAGCCACTTCAAGCTTACATGTTGTGCCACCTTGGTCAACAGAAATTAGTCCCTACTTAAAGACTTTCTCTACCATTCTCTATTCTCAGAAATGGTTCCCTTAAATGTTTCTGTTGTGTTATTTTCCTGAAGTCTTCTCCAGCCATGAATAACCTAGGGGCTGCTCTTTTGTACTTCAGCTCCCATCATCCCGGTTTCAGGACAAAAGATGCTACTTTCTTTCACTGTTGCTATTTCATGTGATTTAAGTGTAAAACAGACTTTTCCTCCCATTACCCTTAACCCTACAAGAACAAATTTGCAAGTTGAAGTAAGACATCAAAAGCTCAGACATGACAGACAAAAATGAAAACTATAAGTAGTGATAATTGTGGTTATGCTCAGAGCCTCAGGCTCAAATCCAAATCAGCATTCAAAGGTTCTGGAAAGCTTCCGGGCTCACTGTCATCTTCACCATTATGACCTTACATCTACCCTGTGAAGGGTACAACTACAGGATGTCTCTACTTTGATTGCAGCCCCACTGAGCACTGACACACACACATCACATGTCCTGACAGAAGTTTCTTTCCTTTACCCCACTCTGTCAAGTTTACTTAATTCTTAATATTCTACACCAAAATGGGCCTAGTCTAAGTATGATTAAGAGGATACATATTAACTTCCTTCAAGAGAATCATGACATTTGTACAGAGGTATGTGGTTTCATCATTTGTTTAAAAATTACACTCTACTAGAACGCTTTTTTATATGCTTTAGTGTACAATTCTAAATTCCTGAAGACGACAATTACAGCAATTTAATCTATAGTTCCTTGGTCAAACACAATTTTTTTCCCTCTCTTTTCTCCCAGATGAACAGTCTTTTAGTTATTTTTATTGAACAGACTTTTTAAAATTAAATAAAATTAATAAAATTAAACAAAATAAAAATGCTGTGAAAAGAGCAGAATTCATAGAAAAAAGAACATAAACACAGAACAGTTTAGAAATAGGATAGTTTAACTCATTTTTAAGTCAAATTTTTCCCTTTGGTATTGGAGACTTTAGGCCCAATTTCTTGTCTGCATTCATGGGCTATTTCCAGAGGTAAAAGAACAAAAGAGGGTATAGTAAGTCTCTATATATTTTTGTTCTTTCCATGATCATTTTGAGGAATGAAGGGCATTTGGTTTCCTCCTTTCAAGACCATGAAACCTACAATTTCTCTTATTCTATTTCAAGTTCTCTGAAAGTCTCTTCTATTTGATTCTTACAAGGACTTTTTTGGAATCAAGAATGTGAAAGTAATCTTCCTAATATTTCCCCAAGGTGTTTGCTTCTGGGATGTGAGTCTGTGGTTGCTAAAAAGATCCTACTCAGGTATAAACAGGACTCAATGTCTACTATGAACAAGGACCTGAGAAGAAAAAAATGAATATGAAAAGCTTCAGCTCTAAGACAACACAAAATATAGTGGTGAAACCATAACCGTAATGTATTGTTTATACCTGGTAATATAAGTAGAGTTTTTATGACAGCACTTTCATACAGAAAAAAAGAAACAGATTCTGTTTCAGGTAGTCAAGTCTAAAATTAATTAACAGGAAATGGTATGGATTTAAAGAAATATGTATAAGTTAGAAAGTTCTAGAAATTCTTCAAAGATGTTTTACCGCCTATGATCAGAAAGCAAATGTCGATCAATGCTCTACTTTCCTATGTGCCTCCTCATAGGACATTGTACCCTCAACACCCAAGGAATTCTGTGCCATGTTATATTGTTCAGATTGTCCTCTCACCCCAAGAGTTCTAACACCAGGAATAATCATCTACTCATTCACTTATTTCTTTAATAAATGTTTTTTCACTGCCTATAGAGGAACTTAAGACACAGTACTCACATGGGATAGTACAGAATAGTAAGAAATGTTTGTACAGAATGAAGTATGAGGGTAATGGTTAAGAAGAAATGTGAAAATTGGGGAGGAGGCTGGGAAGATTCTCTTGGGCAATATTGGAAAGCTGATTAAGCCAGAGTCAGAAATGGTCAAAGTTATATTCAAGCATTAAACTTTGCCTGAAAGCATATATTAGGGGTGCTAGTTTGGAAAGTATTATGGAAAAAGTGAGAGAGGTGGGCTATCTCTTAGAATAGGAACACTTGATGGAATCTAGTATTGTAGGCTACACAGTACAGGCAAAAGGAGTAGAAAAAAACATAACAGTGTCTTGAATAATCATTATGTCTCTAACTGAGCACATTATATTTTGAGTAAGTATAGGAAATGGACCAGAGCATTAGTCTGAAGGCCATGTCTTAGGTTTCACATCCCATATAGAGCCCTTGTAATGCCTGAATTCTCTCCGTATTTCAAAACTCCTTGAAAATTCTTATGCTTCAGAGGTAGAAGTGTCATCCTTTAATGACTGTGTACAGTTCCCTTCCTTTTCTTATTTTCCTTGACCTCCTCATACAAGACACAAGAGCTCCCTGTGGAAGATCCTCAGAGATGTTCTAATTTTCCCAGAGGAGAAAAAAATAAAAAATAAATGAAATGAATCAAGAAGTTGAGCTGAAATTCTTTATTAGGCAGAAGCCATGCCCTTGAGAGTGGGCATTATTTCCCCAAGTTCAGAAGATAGAATATAGAGAAATAGGGTCTTCCAAAGGTCACCAGGAAATAGGGCAGGATCTCAGTGGTACTTGTGAGCCAGAGCAGTGGCCACGCCAGCCACCACTTTCTGATAGGCAGCCTGCACCTGAGGGGTGAATTCCTTGCCAAAGTTGCGAGCCAGCACAACCACCAGCACGTTGCCCAGGAGCTGTGGGGAAAAGGTAGACAGATGTATATGCATGATTAACACCTTGGAGTCAAAGAAATTGGGCAAAAAAATCATTTTTTCATGCCTACTCTTGAGCCCCAATTGATCCTCAGCTTATTCCCACCAGCATACATTAGTAAATGTTTATGTGTTTATATTATATATACGTAAAGTATTTATATATTTTATTATAAACATTATATGTACTATAACTGATGAATTAGGGTGAAGGGCTGTCTTTCAGCAACTACTTGCTGCCTTACTTCCTACTTCTGGTCTTTTCATCCTCAGATATTCACTTTCTTTTTTGTCCATTGAGTATTGACTCTGTAAAGTTCATATTATTTTTTAATTTTTAAATTATTTAGGCATATTTCCACTTTGAGGCATCCTTTCAAACCCCTTTCAAATCCACATGAAGGATTTTCCAAGTGTAGCGGAAGGAAGTGAAAGTTGGTATATATAATTTGAGAACTGGGTAGGAAAAAGTAAACTGGGGTGGGAAAATAGAGAAGTAAAAAATAAGACATTAAAGAAACATCTTGACTTTTAAAAAAGCAAGTTTGTGAGAAAAATAATATGATATTAAAGAAAAATATAAAACTATATATACTTTAAAAAGCATTAAGTAATGAGGTACAGTAAAACAAAAAAAAATTGGAGGAAGAACAGGTAGGTAAAAGAACCAGTTTGAAAGAAAAGACAGTGAAAAGAAAAAAGTGGAACATCTCCTAGACTCACCCTGAAGTTCTCAGGATCCACGTGCAGCTTGTCACAATGCAGCTCACTCAGCTTAGCAAAGGTGCCCTTCAGGTTGTCGAGATGCTGCAGACCATTACTGAAGGAGTCAAGCACTTTCTTGCCATGGCTCTTCACCTTGGGGTTGCCAAACACAGCAGAAGCAGAGGACAGGTCCCCAAAGGAGTCAAAGAACCTCTGAGTCCAGGGGTAGACCACCAGCAGCCTGAGGGGTGAACACAGCACAGAGAAAAGGGGGAGTCAGTGTCTGTCAGAAGCCCAGGGGACAGTGCTGTCTCCTCATGCCCAGCTTCCACTCACGCCCCTTATGCCCGGATACCAACCTGCCCAGGGCCTCACCACCAACTTCTTCCACGTTCACCTTGCCCCACAGGCCAGTGACAGCACCCTTCTCCTCACCAGTCAGATGCACCATGTTGGCTGTTTGTTTAGTTGCTAGTGAACACAGTCGTTTCAGAAGCAAGTGTAAGCAGGAGCTGGCCCTTCTCTTTTTTTTTATGCCCAGCCCTGGCTCCTGCCCTCCCTGTTCCTGTGAGCAGATTGGCCCAGGGCATGGCAGAAATTCATTGGTTTGTGAGAATGTGGGATGTACTCTCATTCTCAGTTCTCTTCACCTGGCCTTGAAATCATCTGTCCTCAGTCATGTGTGTCTTGCATCTGACACTATGGTCTCCCTCTATTCATCTCCTGACCTCATCTCCTTTAGTGGATGCTTCTACAAATATACTTTCATTCTAATTCCTGCATAAGTGTTTTAGTAAGATATGGAGGGATGTATCTTAGAGTCCAACTCACCTAGTTCTTTCATTTTTAGATAAGAAGACTAAGTCTTAGAAGGCAGAAATTTTATCAAGTAGGCTCCTTATGGAGCTTCTCTTTGTCTCTAGAGATATTTATAAATGGATTAAATGGGTAAATATTTTGCCATAGTTTTAACTTGCCTTCTTTCTGCTACTTGGGTAAATACTTATAGTCATGCACTCTTTTTCCATTTCTTTCTTAAAATAAATGTCCATTAAAATAATGGAAAATAATAATATCTGCTAATGATCAAAATATGTTTGGGGGCATGAAATGTAATGAAAGATAAATCAAAATATATAATATCCAGGACATAATAGTTTAAAACTATACCTGACTAAAGAAAGAATGCGCAAAAATTGAAAAAGAAATGTACCTCATTCAGCCAGATTAAGTCTGACAGGGTTTTAGAGAAAATTCAAATGCAGGAATTTCTCCATCTGTGTTCTTGTGGGAAAAAAAAAAGAAGGGAGGGAGGGAATAAGGGAGGAAGAGAGTGAAGAAAAGTAGGAAGGAAGGACTTGGTAAATCAAAGAGAATTAACTGAAAGGGAAAGAGGAGAAAAATATAAAGAAGATGAGAAGAGAGATTGATAATTACAAAATTTCCCAAGGATGTAGATTTTAAAAACTCTTATATTCTCCTAGTGAGAGTGTAAAATAGTTGAATGGCTTTTGAAAATATTTGATGTAAAGCCCTGGCTGGTGTAGCTCAATGGATTGAGCTCAGGCCTGTGAACCAGAGTATCGTGGTTGGATTCCCAGTCAGGGCACATGCCTGGGCTGCAGGCCAGTTCCTGGCAGGGGACGCCAGAGAAGAAACCATACATTGATGTTTCTCTCCCTCTCTCCTTCCCTTCCCCTCTAAAGATAAATAAATAAAATCTTTAAAAAAAAGAAATACAATGCAAATTTAAAAATATTTGATGTTTATACTGAAGCAGGAAATATGCAAAACCTATGATTTAACAATTACCCTTTTAGATAAACAGAAATGGAAGCTTGTGTGTATCCAAAGATATGCCTAGGAATGCTTATAATATCTATGTACATAAGAATCTGAAACTAGTAGAAACTTAAATATTCCTCTCTTAGTGGAATAAATAAATTATGGAATAGTAAAGTAATTATATATTACACAGCAATTTAAATTACTGCTTCACAGGCAGCAACAGAGATGAATTGTATAAAATAGTGTTGATTAAAAGAAACCAGACAGTAATTTGAACTACATGGTTTATATGTAGAAAGATGGACAGTGGTGACTGTAATTCAGATCACAAGAGAATATGATTATACGATAGAAACTTACAGAGGAGTCGAATGATCTTTAAACTAGGCTACAGTTACTTTCCTTTAATCTGTATGGAAAAAGTATGAAAAAATTCAAGGAAGGGAGTGGCATGATTTGGTTTATATCTTTCAATAATTATTCTAGATTCAGTGTATAAATAGATTTTAGGGGTAGAATAAATAAGAGACAAATAGAATACTGTGGTAGGAGGGGGATGTAAACACGCCATCTCTATTTTCAGGCTTAACCAATGAATGATGCATTCAGTCACTGAGATGAGGAATGCAAGAAAAGGGCTAAATTAGCAGGGATAAATTAGCAAAAAATTAGGAATTCACTCTTGTACATATCTTATTCAACACACTCCTAAACAATCCCAAATTGGATATTAAGCAAATAGATTTATGGGTCTTGAGTTTCGAAAGAATACAATCAGGTTATGAATATATACTGGGCCTTGACCCAGTGTGGCTTCATTGGACACTATCTTGCAAGGTGAAAGTTTGCCAGTTTGATTCCTGGTCAGAACACATGCCTGGGCTGTGGGTTCAGTCTCAATTTTGGGTGTGTTCAAGAGGCAACTGATCAATATTTCTTTCTCACATTGATGCTCCTCTCCTTCTCTCCCTCTCTTCACCTTTCTCTAAAAATAAAATAAATGAAAGATATATATTTTAAAAGAATACACAATGAAATAGGGTACAGAGGAACACATCATAATGCATTGTATAAACCACCATCACAACCTTTTAAAAATGACAGACAATGCACTTTACAAATATTTCCTTGAAACCTTGGAATGTACGATTTCTGTGTGAAAAAAAGTCCAAGCATTGTTAATATAACAAGAACAATTTGTGTGACATTCATGTAACCTGGCAGCCAAGGAGAGTGGCCTGGGATGCACATGCATGAACAATGACAACCTCATTGTACTAATCAGTGGGCACAGTAGATACTATTGAGTGAGCATGTGCACTCTGTGGCCGTGGCATTCAAAATAACTGAGATAGTTGAGCAACAAATCTGCATCAAATTTTGCATTAAGATTGAACATTCCTCCACAGAAACTATTTCAACAATTCAGAAGGTTTTCAAGGATGATACAATGAGCACAGCCCAAATAAAAATGTGGCACAAATGCTTCAAAGATTCAGCAAGATCAAAGACATGTTAACTGTATTTTTTATTTTGAAGGTTTGTCGGTCATGAGTATGCCCCTCCAGGCCAAACGATTTATAAGGAGTACTATTTCAATTGTCTTCCTCAGTTGAGAGATGTGATATGACAAAAACATCCACAGCTATGGCCTACTGATGATTGGCATCTTCATCACAACATCACACCCGCTCATACATCACATCTCATGCAGAGTATTTTGTGAAACATCAAATCACTCAGGTGACTCAGTCCCCCTACATCCCAGATTTGGTGCCCTGTGATTTCTGGCTTTTCCCAAAACTAAAATCACCTTTGAAAGGGAAGAACTTTCAGACCACCATTGAGATTCAGAAAGATACAATGGGGCATCAGCTGATAGCTATTCCAACAAAGGATTTTGCAGAGTGTTGTGAACAGTGGAAGACACTGGGGGAACTGTGTGAGGTCCCAAGGTATGTACTTTGAAGGGTACTGAAGCATCATTGTCCTACATTCAATATTTCTTGTATTTGTATCTTCAATAAATGTTTCTATTTTTCATATTATGTGCCTGAATAGTTTCTGGACAGCCCTCATGTTTGTGAAGTTAGAATCACTGTATCATTTTACAAATGAGGAAGAACTTTTTAAGTATTTTACTTATTAATTTTTAGAGAGGGAAAGGGAGGTAGAAAGACAGGGAGAGACTCATTGATGAGAGAAAGAAACATTGATTGATTTTCTTATGCACACCATTGAGGGACTGAATCTGCAACCCAAGCATCTTCCCTGATTGAGACTCAAACCAGGGATGTTTTCACTCTAAGGGACAGCACCCAGTGAACTGAGCCCCACCAGTCAGGGCAAATGAGAAAATTTCTAACTATACTTTGCACATCAAGGAGGATGTAATTTGATCTTTGTTCATTAAATCCCAAAGCCCTGGCTTTTCACTTTTATGCCAAGGACCTGGGTACAGGAATTTCAAGTAATTGTTACAAAACGGCTATGCTCAGTGCCAGCACCAAATAAGAGACTTCTATGCATTTTCAGTTTTGTCAATAAATTTTCTTCTTTTCATTCAGCATACAGGGAAACTGGCTATCATTTATGACTTCCGCACTCTCTCTTTTTCTATGTTTTAAGCCCTATATAATCTTTGCTTAAGTAAGGAACAATGGTTCCTTAGTTAATTTTTTCTTGGTTGCATTGTGCCTGTCAAGTTCAGTCTTTTACCCATCACTGCATTATAATCACAGCAAACTTCTATGGCTATATCCAAGTTAGACCCTGTCTTTTCAGTTCTATACCTACACGTGAATCACTTACCCTTGAATTCCCTATTTATTATTACCCACTCGTGTGCAAGAAACTTCATTGGTTCTTTTTGCTTCTAACAATTAGTAGTCCTGCTTTTTCTGGTGTCTCTAGTAACGTCTAACTTTATACTACCACACTGCATTTAAAGGGCAAGTTTCTCTTCTTTCACTTAGGCCTAGCATGGTGATTCCTGGATTTATCATTTTCCCATATAAATGAGCTTTTATCTCCATCAAAGGCTTAATGAAATTAGAAATATATTCTGTGTCACAAAGATAACAGTAAGTTCATATGCCTTAGGTATATTTCTTCCGTTAATACCACTGAAGACATTAGGGAAAATCTTATAGTGTGGCCCTTGACTGGGTCTGTGGGAAGCCCCAACATCACCATATTATAGCAAATAAAAATGTTTATTATGCCCAGGCAGGGTGGATCAGTTGGGTTGGAGCATCGCCTCATACACCAAAAGGTTGTGGATTTGATCCCCAATCATGGCACATACCTGGGTTACAGGTTTGATCCCTGGTTGAGGCACAGGTCCCTGTTTCTCTCTCACCTCTCTCTCTTCCTATCTCTCTCTCTCTCTGAATTCCTCTCTCTCTAAAATCAGTAAAACATGTCCTCAGGTGAGGATTATTTATATATATATGTATATATATATCATATAATATGTATATATTGTATAATATGTATATATTATATATCACATATAATGAAAGCATATAGTGAGGATTGTATATATGCTATATATTATATGCTATGTGTTATGTATTATATATTATATAGTTTCTTACATTAAATAAAAGTGAACTATAGCCCCAAAGGAGCTCTATCCTGAGTTTATACAAATAATAACATATGCAGGACCCATACTAAGTTTTAGTATGTCCTACTCACAGTCACCCATCTTCTTGCAC